TCGAATTATTTACAGTCATAATTTCGTAAGTGAAAATAAAATAATAAACAGTTTAAAATTATTATTTTTTTGTGAAAAAAAAAATATGAAATAAATATATAGATTTTTAAATAACAATTTTTTGAGTAAAAGTTTATTATTAATAGATAAATCAATGTAAAAATATGAATATAATCATTCAAATTATTGAAAGATGTATAAACCATGAATATTATCAAATCTAGAGACTCGCATCAGAAACAAAAACAAAGGAAATTATAAATCTTTATATTGTTTGTTTCTATTGTTTTTGCTGCATTCTTTCAATTTTCTTAGTAAATTAAAAGTACTGAAACAAAGTAGAAGCGTTATAACAATAATTGAAACTATTTAAATAGAAATATCATTCGAATTATTTATAGTCATAATTTCGTAAGTGAAAATAAAATAATAAAAAGTTTAAAATTATTATTTTTTTCTGAAAAAAAGATATGAAATAAATATAGATTTTTAAATAACAATTTTTTGAGTAAAAGTTTATTTTTAATAGATAAATCAATGTAAAAATATGAATAAATTCATTCAAAGTATTGAAAGATGTATAAACCATGAATATTATCAAATCTAGAGACTCGCATCAGAAATCTTTATATTGTTTTTGCTGTATTCTTTCAATTTTCTTGGTAAATTAAAAGTACTGAAACAAAATTGAAGCTTTAAAACAAATATACAGGTATGGGACTTCGATCAGTCCAGATTTATTACAGTTAATCTCATTAATAATTGAGCAAATTAAAAATATGTAATGTTTCTTTTTTTGTATGTATTTAGTTCCTCAATTAGTCCGGTTTCAAAGAGTCCGGGATATTGGCGGAGTATTTAAAGCTTTTTTTTTACGGGTTTATGTAAAATTTACATCTAAATAAATTACAATTTTTTAATCGTTTAATCGTTAAACTTAAAGAATGTTTACTTTTGCAGATACAATAACGAGGATCATAGGATACATCATATTGTATAGCGGCATCAGCAATTTCGATGAAGATCAACGTTGAGGTGGAGGATCACAGGAACCTCCTGGAATGGTCAGCTGTTTCCTTGGACAACTCTACGCTGCCAATAGACATGAGATTCAATGACGGTCACAGACTTTCCATCATAGTGTACAGCATACTGATGGTGTTCTCATCCATCGGTAACATAACCGTTCTGGTGCTCATCCTGAAGAGACGCAAGAGTTCGCCGTCGCGCATCAACACCGCCCTCATGCATCTAGCAATCGCCGATCTTCTGGTACGTCAAATCAAGAGTCGCGTGGTGGACGCGCCGGGTACATCCATTTCACTTGTCTCATCATCTACTATCGTAGATTCTATTAGTTTACTTAATTAACAAGAAACCTGATTTAAAGTAATTAATTAATTCGAAGAAGCGAAGGTCAAGGGTATCCGTTTCTTTCCATTTAATTTATAAATTGTCAAGGGTTGACGGTTTCGTCTTCATTTTATTATATTCTTTACTATTATTATCGCATCGATCGATGCTGTAATAAAATCTAATACAAATACAGTGGAATTTGTCAAATGGAGGTGAAATTTAATAGGAGACCTGTTTCAGGTTACATTTTTAACGATGCCGCTAGAGATTGGTTGGGCCTACACGGTCCAATGGAAAGCAGGAGATGCGATGTGCAGGATAATGACGTTCTTCAGGACGTTCGGCCTTTACTTGTCCAGTTTCGTCCTGGTCTGCATCAGCATTGACAGGTTAATTGATGAGTGGAAAATAAAAAACATATGATCCGCAATTAATCGATGAAATGAACAAACAAAATAAATACAAATGCGATTGTTCCAGATATTACGCTGTACTGAAGCCTCTGCATTTAACAGGAATAGACAGACGAGGGAAGTTCATGTTATCGGCTGCTTGGATGGGAGCAACCCTCTGCAGTATGCCTCAGGTAAAGTGTTGAAACGAGTTAAAGATTACATAACAGATTTGTTCAAGTTCAAGTTGCAATTTTAGATGATGGTCTTCCAAGTCGAACATCATCCGAACATCACGTGGTACGAGCAATGCATCACCTACAACGTACTGAAAACGCACACGCACGAAATCCTGTACGCAGCTTTCGGTATGCTGATGATGTACGCGATCCCTCTGATCGTTATCATCTTCACGTACGCATCGATCCTGATGGAGATATTCAGGAAAACCAAAGAATCTTTCGGATGTTAATAACTTAATCTCATAACGATTTTCCATTCGTAACGAATCATTTATTTTTCAGCCGATCGAATCCGTCGCTCGAGTCTTGGATTCTTGGGGAAGGCGAAGATCCGTACGCTCAAGATGACGATCATCATCGTGCTCGTCTTCTTCATTTGCTGGACGCCTTTTTACGTGATGATGATGTGGTGAGTTTATCTGCGAATCGATCGGGCATAATTGCAAACACAATTTTCCCATTTTCACAACAAAGCGCACGCGATTTGTAAACATCGTTAGCGCGCTCATGATAATAATCGGAAAATTGTTATTTTCGTCTGTGCATGTAAATAATACAAAAAATATTCGAGTGTGCCAAAGATTTGAATCAGTATTCATGATAAAAAAAGACATATATTCTACGTACAATAGTCTGTATTATAATAACCGATATGAAGGTGACAAGTTCAAACCCTCTATCAAAGTAGAAACAAATCATTGTGATGTTCATTATCTGAATTTATTTATTTTTATACGAAAGATTTTATACATACTATTGGATTTCCAGCAAAGTTTTTGTGCCGATTTTTCACGAAAATTAAAAATCAAAACTTTCATATATAGATATATAATTTTTGTAATTAAGTATGCACCAATTTTGATCTATAAACCTTTTTTCATCTTTCGCGCAACTTAAACATTACATCCTCCCAGAATTTATTTATTAGGTTGATGGAATTTTTCAAAGACCCAAATTTGTGGAAAACTACAGCTGGATTATACTCGATTAATGTCTTGATTTCATCATTATTACTAACAGAACTTTAAGGCTTAAATCATCTAGTCGAAATTTAGATAATTATGTTCCTAAAGTTCATTTAGCTAAAGCAACTTCTCCGTAAGCAGAATATATCTTAGTTATTGCTTTAGTGGCATTTTTGCCTCTGCAGTAAGAGAAAAGTATCAACGTCTAAAATGCACTTTGTCTTCTTTCGCCTTCACGAGGGTACTAAATGTGTCAGTTCCATTGAACCGACTCAAACTCACTTTTTTAGAATATATACACAAGTTCATTGTTTTTCATAATTCTGATTAAGAATAGACAATCGGTACTTAGCCAAAATCGGCACGAACTTTTCGTCCAATATTATGGACAAAACACAATATTTAGACGCTCAAAATTACCGATTTTTTTTTTTTGGTAAAATTACTTATCTTTTAATAAGTTTTCTTAAATTTGAGATACTATTGATTATTTGCTAAATTTCTTTCATTGTCAGTTGTGTTAGCTCTTCAGTTTCGTAAATCTTATATTTAATTGTTTAATGAGAGACACAATAGTTTAGGTAATAGCGGATTCATTCAAGTGAAATAAATTCTAATCATCCTCTTGACTCATATTTCTAAATTCTTGAAGATTCTGCAAAAATTGGACAACATTCAAAAAGTTTTGTACGTCGCTCTTGATTTCGTCAAAATTAGTTCAAGTAAATAGATAAAGATTTATAATTTATAATTAAACAATATACAAAACTATGAAATGTTGTAAATGTACACAATATAAGCAAAATCACACGATGAGCATTAAAAACTACAATATTTTTGCAATTTATTTTAGGTATTGGTACGATAGAGAGGCAGCTATTCATGTAGACCAGAGGGTCCAAAGAGGCCTATTCATTTTTGCATGCACCAATTCGTGCATGAATCCCATCGTTTATGGAGTGTTCAACATAAGGACGAGACGAACGGCGATGCAAACGAGACCCAGATTGGCCACTCTGGATTCCAGGCAGAGCGGAATTTCGACTCCTACAGTCGAATCCAAACTACCCGCAATAGAGATATCACTAAGGAACCTCGAATAGGATACTTAATTTAATTAATTACTTAAAATCAATTTAATATTTAAATTAAACTATATCAGATTATCACTATATAACAGACATTCGGATAACGATATGCGAATAAGTTAGTCATTCATTACTTAAGGAAACAACGCGCAGTGGACTTTATTCTAGTAATTATATAATGTAAGTCATCTTCCTATTAAATATAAACATGTTCAATTAAAGACATAATCATTGAAAAGAAAATATGTAATAGTCGTTTATTATAGTTTGAGTAAAATAATTACGAAAACTGTACACGATAAATATTTGTATACAGTAAGTCCTCGACTTAGGCGGTTAATTCGTTCCAACAGTTTCAGTGTAAGTCGAAAACCGCGTAAGTCAAAAAAATAATATAAATCTATGTACAATTGCAGTAATGTTAAGTTGAGTGTTGAAGCTTTCCTGCATACATAAGTTGAAGACTTACTGTATTTGTATCATGACTTAGATCAGAATGCTTACATTACATGCTGACAAAGGATGTAAATATCGATGCATCTACCGACTGTAAATTAACTATTGTCAACCAATTTCTACTAAAATGTAAAAATAAATAAATTTCATAATAGGATATATGATTTTCCAACATTGTACGTGTTTTCCTTATAATCTGCATTCTCTGCCTTATCTAAATCTCAAAATCCTTCTGTTATTCACATTATTGTTTTTTTTTTTGTTATTATTAATATTCAATTTAATTATTTTAAACTATTTCAATTATTTAGTATAAATGTTCTTTCTTATAGCAGTTCTAACTTTATAATTAATTTTAAGCAATTAAAGATCATACATTTATAATTTTAACTACTAATCAATGGTAAAACTCTGTAGACAATCTAAATGAAATGGTAAGAGTTTTTTTTAGTAAAAAGCGAAAGATTCATTCGCTTTTAAGTGAATCCTGAATTAAGGGTATAAACTGGTGTGAACCAAGGTAGGTGTTGAATTTTCACCTACCAGGTTACCAACTGTATTACATATATATATATTTGAAGGATAGTTAAGTTGGCATGCTTTGCTAAACAAACGTTAGATTGGATTGGGTGTTGTGTTTGTCAACGCAAAAGTGCCTATCACTTCGCACAGCAATCATCACATATCTCGCAAATTTGTGAACACTTATTTGTAGTGCGATTCGCTGTATTTGTTCTGCAATTGAAAAATCCTCAAACGCCCTGTAAATAATGGATCCTTCACGTAAGTAACCAAAATCACCATTTTATTTTTGTCTATAACGAAAAAAAGTTAATTATAGTATAACAAACAAAAAAAAATGATCACTACTGGAATTTTCCGCGGCGCTCTGCGATTTGCTACAATTGCCCGCGGGTCCAGTAAGCATCATTATTTGCTTTTCACTTTCATCATCCATTTGCATGAATTGCTTTATTTTTTTTTTTAGCTCTCAGCAAAGAAACCCTTCAGAAGTTTCGCAGCGCATTCTATGACAGCCCAAAGAACATTCTTGCCCAGAACGTGTGCAGCAGAGTAGACCCATTCGATGTTTGCCTATCTAGGAAACAATTGGAGGATGTCCAGCATGTGTTCAATCACAAGGTAAGAGTTGCAAACACATCAAACATTCCTTGCATAAATAATTCAATGCAACTTCCGTTTAAGGTTGATGAAGGTAAACCAATGACCAATCAGAAAAGTAGTGGCCGTTGCTGGATTTTTGCCACACTCAATGTGATCAGGTTACCATTTATGAAGCAGCTCAACATTGAAGATTTTGAATTCTCACAAGGTTACTTATTCTTCTGGGATAAAATTGAGAGGTGCCATTTCTTCCTCAACAATGTTGTTGAAGTGACCAAAAGGAATGAAGCAGTTGATGGAAGATTAATGTCATTCTTGTTGCATGTAAAGTACCTTTCAGAAGTGTTAAAGTTATAGTTTGGTTTATAATGTAAACTTTTAGGATCCAACCACTGATGGAGGGCAGTGGGATATGATTGTTAATGTTATTAATAAGCATGGTTTAATGCCAAAGAAATGTTTCCCTGAATCCTTCAGCTGTGAGGCCAGTTTAAAGATGAATCGCATTTTGAAAAGCAAAGTAACTAATAACAATTAAAATAGTGTTACAAGTGTATATTTATAATATGTATTTTTAGCTGTGTGAATATGCCAAAGCAATTAGAGACCTATTAGCTAAAGGTGCAGGAGACAGCGAAGTGAGGCTGTTGATTGAATACCAAATGGAGAATATTTTCAGGATTGTGGGTATCTGCTTAGGTATTCCAAGTGAAACATTCACATGGAATTACTATGATAAGAACAAGGGTTATCACACAATTGGCCCAATCTCGCCAAAAGATTTCTATGAGAATCATGTGAAACCTATTTATAATGTGGATGATAAGGTCTGCCTGGTCACAGACCCAAGGCCAACGAATCCATTTGGAAAAAGTTACACAGTCGATTGTCTTGGAAATGTTGTTGGTGGTAGAGCTTGCATTTACAACAATCAACCAGCCAATGTTCTCTTGGATTTAGTTAAAGCAAGTATTAAGGATGGCGAAGCTGTTTGGTTTGGATGTGAGGTGTCGAAGAGGTTTGCTCCTAAACAAGGAATCCAAGACCTTGAAATGTATGTATACATTTTTTTTTTACAATATAGAACTGCATTATATATTATGTCATTTTCAGACATGATTTCCCATTGGTATTTGGAGTTGATATTCAAACAACTCTCACCAAAGCTGAACGTTTGTTATATGGAGAAAGTGCAATGACTCACGCAATGGTTTTTACTGCAGTTAACACTAACGTAAGTTTATTCTCTATCATCTATTTTGTAAATGTCTAAAATCAAACGTTGTGTTACAGGATGAAAATGAGGTAACTAAATTGAGAATTGAAAACTCGTGGGGTGAAGAAAGGGGAGAAAAAGGTTATTTGATAATGACAGTGCCATGGTTCAACGAATTCGTCTTCGAAGTTGTCGTCGATAAGAAGTACGTTCCGGAGGACGTTATGGACGTATTCAAACAAGAACCTGTTGTGCTGCCGGCTTGGGATCCGATGGGAACTTTAGCGCAGTAAAAAGTAAACTCGATACCTTTAAATGTTCAAAAGAGAGAGAGAGAGAGAAATGAAGTGAGAACGAACATTCTTACCAAAATTAATTTTTAATCAACAAACATCAATGAGTTTTCTTGGCTATGGCCAAAGACCTTTCATACGACAGTTTAGACCAAATGCCTTTACACATCCTCACCAATCTGACGTCGGTCCCATGCTTGGCATTATCGTATTCGTACATAACGATATCCTTTGCAACTTTGTATTTTCCCTGCTGGATCAAGCTCAAACTGAAGTATAACCTGCAGCGAGCCGCTATTAATGGATCACCAACTTTAAGCGCTAATTGCAGCTGATGTAAGGATATTTTGCCAGCCGTTTTAGCTCTATCGACAAAATAATCTCCAAGCGCTGAGAATGCTCCTCCCAACGTTGATAACCACGATAAGGCGTTATCCAATTCGCAACGTTCCCTCACCAATTCTCTTGTTTTTGAATTCCTAAAATAAATTCTCAATAGCTTAATTACAATGTTGTACATTCACTATTATTTACCAAGAATAATCCAGAATTTCATGTTCCTCGCTGAATTCCACTAGGTTGAATCTGATCCTATTGATCTGAGGGTCTCTAAAGTTCTCCAGGAACTTGATTCTATACGAACCATTACTTTTTAACGTTTCTACCAAATAATATAAGGTAATGCCATGAATATTCACGCGGTATTCCTTTTTACTGGGAACAACTTCTCCCTCGCCAGCTCCACCGATGCAACCAATTACATCACTTATACCATTAGAATTTACTGAAAACCTATCAAACTCTTGACAGTATCCTCTAACAGTAACATAAACCGTTTTCATTATTTTGTAATTTAAAAATTATATTACTACCAAAATCTTTGATACCAACCAGCTGATTATGACATTACATTAAGTTTTGTAAATAGTTCAAAAACATTGTATTTGAACTATTATTGATAATTATTATTTTTATTTAAATATCGATGTTTATTATAAGTAATTCAAAGGAATCTGTATTCATTTAAAAGTGTTAAATATAAAATGTTTATAGTAGATTGCAATTGGATAATTGGGTTGCATAATATCGGATTTGTTGTTCTATGCTTGTCATTGCTGATGTTGTTTTTGTCATTTTCTGTGGCCTGCTGCGATTGGAAGTTTCCACAAAATACTACGACGATAGTAGAACTTCTTTCCTGATTTCTGTAGATCCTCTGAAAGTGTTGTTTTACATTTACGTTCAACGCTATTGGATAGGAAGAGGCCGTTGTTTTTATCGAAATATGGCAAGCAAATTAGGGATCAGTCTAGGATTCAGATCTGTGCCTAAATTGATCAGGTAATGATGCTACAATTACTGTTGATTAAAAAATTACATGTTATTTTCCGTTTAGGCCTATCTCGACGTCACCAGCTCATAACGATGCTTGGCTCTCGAAGCTGCTTGTCAGAAAGATTGAACCAACCAAAGAATCGCACAGCAGAATGCTCAGTGATAAGGACATTGTTTATGGTCTGCAGACCCACAATTTCCGCCCAGATAGCCGCCATAAATACATTAAAAATATGTAATTTCTCATGATAAATCTGTACAATCTTTTTAGCCAGGTCTAATTCCTTTTTGTAGGAAGAACACTGTTGCTTTAGTTACCTCTCACAAGAAGTTAGAGAATGATGTGGAATTGGTTGGTTCATGGACTGTTAATGTCGGAGATCAGGATCAGGCTATACATCTCTGGCAATACAGAGGTGGATTTCAAACCATTGATGATATGAGTGCTGTGCTTAATGATAATCAAGTAAAGGCTAAACGTTTATGTAGATGAGAATAATTAATGTTATTTTTCTTGTGTGTGTGTGTTTTTCTTTAGGATTACATGAAGCTTTATAAAGAGCAGTCAGAGCTGGTGCGTTCCAGACATCTGCAATACCTTTTGGCGTTCAGTTACTGGCCGCAAATAGAGTCAAGATCAACGAAGAATATTTACGAGATAAGGTCTTATGCTCTTAAGCCAGGTACAATGATTGAATGGGGTAACAATTGGGCTAGGGCCATTAATCACAGACAGAACAATCACGAGGCATTTGCCGGATTCTTTTCGCAAATTGGAAGACTTTACAATGTTCATCATATTTGGTGTAAGTGATTTCATTTTTATTCCGATAAAAGGTAAATATTAATAATTGTTTAGTGCAATTATATAACAATATTACTTTACCTAGATACAACTGTTAAATTTTCGTCATCTTTAGCAGCAGGTAGTTTTTAGTGCGGTGCCGAAAACCCAAGTAAACATTATCAGACAAATATAATGTCAATTTACTAGAACAGATGAGTTATTCAATTCGTAACATTACACAATGTTGTAATACTGTTTTTATTTATCAATGATTTATACATCAAACGTTCGCTACTTTGCAAGTACATAGATTTTGACAATATCACTTCTAAATTGGTTTTGTCAATATTTATTGTTTGTGTTTAGTGTAAATATTTTCATCATCAAACACAATGACTTCTCTCTCTCTCTCTGAAATGACTTTAAATAGAATTAAACTGCACAAGAAGAGACTTAACTGTATAAACGAAAAATATCTAAAAAAAAAATAATTCGAAGCGGAACTATGCATGTTATTGGAACTATACTTGAACGTATACATTTTTTACTATTTGAATATGTGTTAGGAATTTGAGGGAAGATAAATATAGAAATATTGATTTAATTTATTCATAAGCGCGTTACTTGCTAAGTACATGCGAAACAAGCTGTGGTATTCATGGAAAGTTACATCCCACGTACAAAAATACTGATTTATATACTTGACAAACATTGACTAGTATGTAGCTATTTTAGATGAGACAACATAACGACTAATGTTATTGCGTTTCAGGTTATAAGGATTTAACATCCCGCAAGGAAACGCGTCAAAGTGCTTGGAGATCCCCAGGTTGGGACGAATGCGTTGCTTACACGGTGCCGTTGATCAGAGAGATGCACTGCAGAATCTTAGAACCGACTGAATTTTCTCCAACTCAGTGAATCTTTCCAAAAGTAAGAAAGAACAGAGTAACTACATATAATTAATTAATTAAAAAAAAAACTATGTATTCCCTCATGCTTCACAATTCTTGTGTATATACTATACATCTATGTGAGAAAATGTTAAGCATTATTTTTAATCCCACTGAAATCTTTACATATAAAATTTATAATTATACCATAGAATTTAAGGTTTGCTTACTGTTGAAATAAAAAGTTTATAAATGGGTTGAGTAAATAAGAATGCCAACATCTTTTACACACTTAAATATTATTTGTAAATAATCTTTACATTCACTTATTTTCTTTTATCACATACATACTTAATAACTAATAAATATATGAACTAAGTCGATTTTCAGAAATAATAATCGTTAATAGAAACTGAAAAAAAAAATAAAGTGTCCTAGAGACTAATTCACTAATTTGAAGTTGAATCAGAATGAGAAACAATAAATTCTCGTTTTTTTTTGTTTGTTGTTGTTGTTTGTATTGAATTTACGGCTAATTTCGTCAATGTTTCATCATTGGCAAATGTAGCGCAAAATGAAATTCAACAATAAATATTTAAACAAAAGAAAGTATAGAAAAAGCGCAAATCAGTGTGAACTTGATCTTTACCAAGATATATCTATTAAATTTCCATACATTTCACCAACTAAATTCAATTATGGGTATATTTAAAAAAAAAAAAGTGGATATTTATAACTGCAGGTGGAGAAGAGAAGGTCTTGGTATTAAAAAACGGGGAGCAACTTAAACGGTGGCTCCATACACGTTTTCATCAGAATAAGCTATGTATAAGAAAAAGTCCTCCTCGTGATGTTCCTGCAACAACAAAAAAAAAACCAGTTGAATGAGTATTGTTATTTAAGGATGAAACATGTTTTGATAATTACTTGATATAGGGAGCCCATAGTGGCAGATGTTGGCGGAATGACGTTGTTGACGAAGAAGAACAAAGCGTCTTCGGGCCGCAAGTGGATACGCTTGCGGATGAGGAAATAGAATTGCCCCACCGTCAAATCGGATGGCACCAGATACTTCTTCTTATCCAGATCACCGATCCTGGCTTTCGGAGCTTTCTCCACGATGACCTAGACACAACAAAGATGGAAAATAATTGTTACGTCTATGCGAAGAACAGCTGTTCGGAGCCTCTGTTATTATTTTGACGGCGGCCATTTTTAAAAGGAGAGACCAAAATAAAAATATTGCGAACAAAACAAAGAGGGCCGCGCGAAACAGCAGCTATTGCACAATTCGTCGCGAATTGCACAACATTCAGATTGTCACACTTACCGGAACGCGGTCTGGGTATTTCCTTCTGATCTTCTCACCCTCGCCTTTCCTCTTCTCGAACGGATGCTCCTCTTTGTATTGGAATTTCATCTTGACAGTAATTTCAGGCTGTCACCGATCGGAAACGACGAATTTGCTGCTGTCTGCCTTGCCTTCAGTTACGAACTGAAACTAACTAAAACAGAGATGACACCTACACTGATCAGAAATGAACGGCTGGGATAGAAAGAGAGAGAGGAGTGACAAAAGTCGACTGGTGGAAGGAGGACGAAATACGAAACAATCGATGAATGCGCCGCCGCTATTGGTCGTTGCCCAGGACCCTCAGTTGCCACATTTACACCTGCATTGTTTTGTTTACATACACAATATATAAAAAAAATCTAAGATCATTAACATTCAACCTCTCTTAATTAAATCATTGAAGATTTTAAATTGATTTATTACGAAGTGCGCTTCCATTGAAAACAAACTACGTTAAACGAGTATTAAAAAAAGTTGCTGCATTTTGAACTTGAACCGTGCATATCCAAACCAAAATAGAAATGTACGATAAATATAAATAACTTGATGTTCAAAAATATGCATTACTCAACAATATTAGCTTATTTACTCTATGAACGTGCAACTAATTGCAAACTTGAAGCGGATCTAATCATCGTGCTATCGATTGCAAGTTAATTAATTAAATACAGATCGAATTTCATATTCTATACAATGTTTGGCAACGTTGTAAAATCTCGCTGACAGCAGAAGACAATAAACAAAAAAAACAAATATAATGCGCACTGGCCTCGATTCGAATAATAACAATTTCTTATCAAATATTCAATAACAAACAATTCCTGTGGAATCGCCTTACGTGCATTACTCACGTTTCCAGAAGTGATTGGATTTATGAGTCGACATGCACAATTATTAACTGGTATAGAAATACCAGAATTCGAACAAACAAAACAAAATTTGGCAACGCAGTTTGTTTTGTTAGTGTCACATTCAAAACACAGCTGGTGGCCATTTTTAAATTCTTTGTTTTTTTTTTTTATACCTGAATAGGTTTTGTGGAAAAGTTTGTTCAACCTTCAGCTTACCTGCTTTAATATCAGTAGACTGCAATGGTCAAATGGAATGCAGCAATCGGTTGGATCACTCTGAATTTATCGTGGAGATACGTGCAAAGATTCACGTCTTATCCTAACAACAACATGAAGACAACTGCGTCATGTCTACAGCACGCAAGCGTCATTGGCATTGAAATACTACGCCGATCAAATCAATTGCACAACATTTCAATTACAACATATTTATTACTTTCCATCTACTAATCACATTGTTACTCACATCTGTCTTTAGATGCTTTCTTGCTACTTGCTAAAGTTACCTTTTGGTGTTTCTAAATTTACATTATTTACAGTTGTCAGCAGTGCTTGTCAAATGAGAAAACAAGCTTAGCTGTGAAAATGTTTGAAAATTGCGATTCTTCCTTGAACGTAAGTAACAAAGTTTTTAATTAATGTCATGTAATAATAATACATTATTATTTATTCGAAGGATCTGCTAGACGTAGAAATCAGAATCGATAGACCTCCAAAAAGAAACAAGAAAGTATCACCCAAGTTGGAAAAGCGTAGGAAATTTCCTGGACCCGCAGGATTTTTACCCGAGAATTTAGAAGATGAATCTCTTCTACACGAAAACAGCTTCCAGGAAGAAAATGATGAGAAGGAAGAGGAAATTGAGGTGGCAAACCAAGTCCACTTCTTGGGGAACACCTGGAAGCAAGTGTCTCAAGAGTTTGGAGTATTTATCAACAAATTTAATATAAATTATATAAAAACCAATCTATTGCCAAATGATAAAATGCCGTTCTTAGCTGCAATTGTAGTGCACAGAGATTCGTTTAAAGGAAAGATACCAATAATTATGTTGACTTTGAAAGATTTAACTGGTAATTTGTTTTAACTACTATATTTAATTAGTTTAATTATTTTGCAATTTCAGGTGAAGTGAAAAGCCTAATCCACCATGAATTATATGAGGAATACGTAAATGAGTTCGCAGTGGGCAATGTTGTTGTCTTAAGGGATTTTTCAGTGCTCAACATGAGCTATGGTAGAAGCCATTGCATAACAATAACACGAAACAATTTGTTAACAATTTATTCTTTGAAAGAAATTTATTTAAATCAACCTAATGAAATATTCACGCAAATGCCAATGCGATGTGAAAGAATAGATGTACAACATTTCGAAAGAAGCACTATCAATAATTTAGTCAACAGTAAAATTATTATTGAAGATTCAAGTACAGTGGATAGTGTTGGGACTTCAATGTTGAAAAAAGAAAATATATTTGAAAGTAATCAGAATTTAGATAATTACGATATAGTACATCGTCAATTTCAAGCGAAAAAAGCTAAATTGGATGAAGTATTACCAGCAAAAGTGAAACATAAAGATTTAAATGCAGAGTTGGATGATGATCTTCACCTTTTTGATGAATTTGATAATGAAATACCAGAGAAATTATCCAGTATTTTAAAGAAAAAACCTAACACAAAACATCAAGCAACGTGTAGCGCAGATTTCGATGATGATCTCAATGATGATCCCAATGAAATAACAGACAAATTAACAAGTATTTTGAATAAAAAAGAAGCAGTTTTGGATGGTAATCTCGATATTTTTGATGAATTACCTAATGAAATACCAAAAGTAGTTCCCAGTATTGTGAACGAAATAAGTTATACCGAGAATTTGCCTGATAAAGAGAATAATATGTTAGATAATAACAGAAAGGCTGATGATGCGCATAAAGCTAATTTGAAGAGTAAATTGAAATCGTTTCGATTTCTCGCTAAAGTTAATACAAATGAACCAAGATGTGTTGAAGCTCCGCAGAAGAGTGTTTCTCAAATTTTTGAAGACACCACCAGTGAATTGGACTGTTTTTTTAGCGATTTCTAGATGATTCTTTTTTTGTGATAATATAATTAATAAAATGTTCTTTTTAGGTAGAAAAGAAACTTTTTTTTATACATTATTACTATAGTTACAAGTGCAATTAAGAAGCAATAGTTTTCATTGTAAATATGAATAATCTTTAAGTATGCATGTATTTTAGTAAATATTCTTAATTGTAACGAGTATTATTTATTTGCGTATTATAATATTATACCAAAGTGATGGTGATGGCGTGCTTTCACAAGTTTGGTAATCGAGATTTAACCAATTGATAACTGTACCTTACATAAATATAATTATATAGAGTTGACAGATTAATTATTCAACACTTGTTAATGTCTGGAATGTAAATTAAAGATATGTTCGATATATAGATAATACTCTATCTGCTAGCCTTTGACCAATGTTACTTATCTTCATAAGAAAACTGATTTCTTCATAAGAAATTGTCCAAATGAAAAGAATTAAAATTTTTGCAATTTTATTTCTTTTAAAGAACATTTATTTATAATTGCAGGTGATTGAATTGAAGATTTATATGTTACTAAAACTTGTTTGGAATTTTATAAGAAATTTTCAAAATTTAAATTATTTGGCGCTTGATCTTGTGGCGCCTCGGAATGAGCTGATGCGGTGGCAATCGCAAATTCGACAACCAAAACCGAAATCCCGACTATGTCAAAATCCCGACAATCAAAATGCCGACTATATCGAAATTTGGACAATCTAAAACTTAATAAGATTATTAATTGTTGTTATTTATTGTTAATAACATAAACTAATTTTATTATAGAATATTTCTTATTCTTAAGTTTTATAATGAATAAGACAACGAAAAAAAATGTTATTAAGAATAAATAACAAAAGAGCCATCGACTTAAGACTTAGTAAAAATATCAGTATCCGTCGTATCTATTAAAATATAGTAGAATAATATAAAATGTTATTGTAGAAATTATAATAATAAAAGACACTGTCGGGATTTCGGTTGTCGGGATTATGGTAGTCGGGATTTCGATACAGTCGGGCTTTCAATAGACGGTCTTTCGGTTGTCGGGCTTGCGATATAGACCCATATTTTCATTTTTAGAATTGTGATGTTCACTTTGCTGTTCTTTTGAATAAAGTTAATGGAATTAGTGTCACTCGGAAAAGATGATTAGATGAGCCAAATATATCTATTTAACAGTTATTTGTTTAAGCAGGCTCTAAAAATATAGCAATAAAATCCGGTGAGAAAAACAGAAATTCTGCCTATATTCTGAGCATAACTCCATTTAAGCATTTCTCTCCAAGAACTATTAGTGGTTTCACTAGCGTTTTTCTTGTGACTCTGATGACAATGGAGTAGGAGGAATCCATGATACAAATATACGAGATACAAGGGTTCCATAACCAAGCAGAATGAAACAGAAACTTATACAATAGAACAGAACAAAAACAGCTACAAATTCGAATAGTACTAAAACAGAATATTAAACATTTGTTATATATTTTGTAGGTATTAAGTTTTTAAAGCAAATAAAAGTGATGTTTGTATTAACCGTGGTTTTACTGTATTTTAAAATATTAGTCGTTTTGTGATGTTTGTCTTGGTATATAGTTACTTCATCTTTGCCAGTCTGATACTAAGATTGTCCTACTACATAATGCGCAAAATATGATGAAAATTGAACTGTTATCGAGTGTTACTTGCATAATTGTATAATAAGAAATGATAATTGAAAAATATAATGTTTACAATAAAAATTGTTGCAACAACGTCAGTTCCAAAGTTGGCTAAATATTTTCCGTTGAAACTTGTTTCTCATTATTTATTGTTGAACAGGAAACTATATGCACATATTATATTAAGTCCTTGCAATATGCGCATTATTTTGCAAAGTACTTTCGTGAAATCGTTATTGACAAAGACTTGTTCTTTCAAGGAATATTCAAATTTATACATTATTAATGAAAAAATGATCGTTTAAAAAGTGCACTCGATATAAGTATATAGACTTAAACTAGGAAATATTTTGTTTGTATAACAACTTTTTAAAAACTATTCAATTGGATATAAATGTTGTTGTCATTAAGTAGTCGATACAACAAATAGACTACATTTGGAGTAAGTAAGACTTATTTATGTCTATTTCTAAATATACATTGTTTAAGGATTTAATCGTTTTTGTTGTTGCAAAAAGTTTGCTAAAGTCTGCTTTTTCTTCTTGCTTAGTTTTCATTTACTGCTACTAATATACGTGACTACTTTAATGAATGTTGTGCATTTTAGTTGTTTTGCAATATCAGAAAAAAAAACACAACAAAAGTAAAGAAGTTTTGCACGAGGACAACGAGATCCTCAAGTGGTGGGAACAATTCATATTGCAATAAGAGATTTATTTTGATTTGTTTCAATAGTTGTTGCAGAAGTGTTAGAGAAATCTGTATGTTTTTGGTGAAATTAAAATAAAACGAGTGCATAAATCAATCTATTTCCAAATTCACTTATTTTCTGTATCAGTAAGCAAATTAATCCATCAATTTTTATTCATACTAAACCTTCTTGTTTCATACTTGCACATTTGAATTCCCATTTGTGCAATGTGCAATGTTTAACAAAAAAAAAATACTCGACTCTATTTAAGCAAATCTTCTTTTATTTAGAGTAAAAAAACATAGTTAATTAAACAAACAGAACGTTCAAATATGTATTTATATTTTCTAGGAAAATGGTTGATACTTCCATGAGCGAATTGCAGCAGTTCTATGCCGGAAAAACGATTTTCCTGACAGGTGCATCCGGATTCCTTGGGAAAATTTTATTGGAAAAGTTATTACGCACTTGTCCTGATGTTAAGAAGATTTACATATTAGTCAGAACTAAGAAAGGCAAAGATCCTAAAACAAGATTTGATGATATTTTCTCAGGAGTGGTAAGTACAACAAATATTTATTTCTTTAGAATAAAATAAAATGAGTCACAGAAGGTGACAAAGTCCTTGGAATCCTGTAAATTTCCAAAAGTTAGTTGAAAAAATGACATATATTTTAATGATTTAAACTTTTATTACTCAAATCATAATTCTCATATTAGTAACATAATTGTATAATTGTATATTAGTAACAAATTTGTGTTTGATTTTCTAGGTTTTCCAAGCTTTGAATGAGGCAAATCCGGAGTACAAAGAAAAGGTATCTTTGATAACAGGAGATTGTGCATTACCAGATCTCGGTATTCAAGATGCCGACAAAGAAACGATTACGAAGGAGGTGAACATCATTCTTCATTCAGCTGCAACGGTGAGATTTGATGAACACCTGACGATTGCAACAAACATCAATGTTAGAGCTATAAGAGATTTGATAGCAATGGCCAAGAAAATGCCGCAATTAAAAGTATGTATTTATAATTTACAATGAAACGAATTATAAATTGTATTTAGTCTTTCATACATATTTCAACTGTGTACTCGAATTGCATCAGGAAGGAAATAGATGAGAACTTCTATGAAGCTTCAATGAAAGGAAACAATTTAATCGACCTCATTGAATGTCTCGATGAGAATCTGATAAGCGACATTACATCACAGTAAGTCGAATGGAATTAGTTAAGGATTTTAGTAGATACTTTCTGATTTTTTTTTAAATGTAGATTGATAGGTGAATATCCGAATAGTTACGTGTTCACAAAAGCTCTAGCGGAGGATGTAATTAAATCCGAAGGGGTTGGATTGCCTTTGGCTATAGTGAGACCGTCAATAGGTGAGATTGAAGTAAATTTAATTAGGATTTATTTTCATTGCTTTTTTCTTTTAAGTCGTTGCGAGTTGTGAAGAACCGGTCAAGGGTTGGATTGATAATGTGTATGGTCCTACCGGCGTGACCATCGGGGTTGCTTTGGGGATTATTAGGACCATGCACTGCAGGAAAGATAATGTGGTCGATATTGTTCCTGCGGATTACGTGTGTAACGCAATTCTTGCAGCCTGTTGGGCTACAGATAGACAACAGTAGGTGTAACATGTTCTTGTAAAAAAAAAATAAGTAATTATGTAATTTTGTTTAAATATATTAGCCAAAGTACGAGTGAAGATGAACGCGAGAAGTTGTCAATTGAGAAACGCATTCCAATTTACAATTTCGTCAGTTCGGCGCAAAATGCCATCACCTGGAGTAAATTTGAAGTTTACTTTTGAAAAAAAAAAAGGATTATTAATGATTCGCCGATTTCAGACAATTTCATCAATTACGCGTACGAAGCGTGCCATAAAGTGCCTTCGCCTTTAGTTGTTTGGCATTACGTGCTGTTTTTGACTAGCAACGTTTACCTCTACGAATTGGCCCATCTATTACTTCACACTGTGCCTGGACACATAGTGGATTTCATTGCCAGGTGCATTGGAAAAAAACCTTTGTGAGTGTCATCATTAAATGTTAATTCTTTCAATTACCATCACTTTTGTTTGCAGATTGGTGAAAGGATACAAGAAGATACACAAATTTATGTTGGTCGTGTCTTATTTCGCACAGAGACAATGGGATTTTCACGACGACAACACGAAACTTCTTTGGAAAAGCCTGTGCGAAAAGGATAGGCAACTCTTCCAGTTTAATATAGCAACGCTGGATTGGATTTCTTACTTCGACAATTATACAAGCGGTTGCCGATTGTATTTGCTGAAAGACACGTTGGACACGGTGCCTGCTGGCAGGAGGAAACTGAGGATTCTGAAGTACGCTCATTACACGCTTATGGGATTTCTGCTGTACGGACTTTACCTTGCATTGCGTTTTGTACTTTCTACATTCTCTACTTAATCTTCATATTAACTGATATATAAATAAACACATTGCTATTGTATGTTGTTGTTATTATCACTGTTTTATTCCAAGATGCATTAATTAAAATATGCGCCTTTCATTTACAAGTGTATGCAAATGTATGAATGTAATTTTGTATTCTAAAGAATCACTATGCTGACTCTACAATTCTCGTAAACCAGACATCACATAATTTACAAACATTGCAGGTACGAATCCAGCTCGAAAACCCACAAAAGAAACTTTGAATCAACACAATCTTTGATTTATTCAATGACAATTACTTCACTAAAAATGATCATAATCCATTCACATTAATTAATCACAATTTTATAATTTGTTTTGATGTGGAAACATTTTGTAAAATCAGTTAAATAAATAAAGGTTTTATAAACAATGATTTAAATAAAAATCATTTTATTTTGGTTTAATTGACCAATAATCAGAAATTATAATCATATTAGATGATTTTTTTTTAAATAATTGTGTTAGTAATTAATTTTCTGTTGATCATATTGATAAGCTGAGTACGGTTCTGTTCAATTGTAAATGCGTTACACGTATCCGGTTGAAATGGGTTTAAAATTTGTGCATTAAAATGTTAGGTTTCGGTGAAAACTTCCAATCGAAATGGAGGAGAGCAGCGAAATATGTGCGTTCTTCGAGGACAAGACGGTTTTTCTCACGGGAAGCACCGGATTCCTAGGGAAGATCCTCATCGAAAAGTTGCTGAGGGTCTGCAATGTGGGGAAGATCTTCATGCTGGTGCGATGCAAGAAGGGCAAATCGGAGGAGGAGCGTTTCAAGGAAATATTCGAGATTCCGGTGAGATTACAATGATTATATCGTTTCTTATTTCAATCTTTTTTTGCTTCTTCAGTTATTTGATAGATTGAAGATCGAGAAGCCAAAGTTTTTGGAAAAACTTGTAATGGTTGCTGGTGACTGTAGTTTACCCAATTTGGGTATAAAGGACGAAGATCGGAAGATGATTATCGATGAGGTTCATGTAATTTTCCATTGCGCTGCGACGGTGAGGTTCGATCAAAAATTAAGAACCGCAACCAATATTAACGTTATTGCTACAAAGGATATTTGCGCAATGGCTAGGGAAATGATTAATTTGAAGGTTCGTGCATATCTTTTTTTTTTGTCTTAATTAAATTAATAACTTAATATTATTTTAGTCTTTATTGTATATATCCACTGCATACTCATTTTGCACAAGGACTGACATCGATGAGCAATTCTACAAACCGCAAATATCGGCCGAGAAATTGTTCAAACTCTTGGACGTGCTGAATGATGATCAAATAGCTGAATGTCAGGAGAGTATTTTAGGCAAATGGCCAAACACCTATTCCTTTTCGAAGTCGATCTCGGAAGAGGTGTTCAAGGACGAATCAAAGGGTTTACCTACAGCTATGATACGTCCATCGATAAGTAAGAATATTTGCAGAAATTAATAACAATAATGTTATATAAAAATAAATACTTTTCAGTCATATCGACGTTCAAGGAACCTATTGCAGGTTGGGTGGATAATTATTATGGTCCAATGGGCGTCGCTCATGGCGCTGGCTTAGGTTTGCTGAGGACTTTACATGCAGATCCTTTGAAGAACGCCGATCTGGTTCCTGCCGATTACGTAATCAACGCCATGCTCGCAGTAGCCTGGAAATCATCGAAGCAGATCTTCAACGAACCGAAGATCTACAATTACGTTTCATCTCCGGAAAAGCCGATAAATTGGAGTATGTCGCATGCAAGAAGAATAAATATATTTATGATTAGTTTAAATTGTTATTTCAGAAACTTACATGGCACAATGCCAACTCAACGGTAATCAAATTCCAAGCCCTCTAGCCGTTTGGTATTTTATATTCAGGTTGAACAAATATAAATGGAAGCACAATTTGGATATATTGTTACTTCATACACTACCTGCTTACATCATCGATTTTCTAGCATTCTGTATTGGTAAGAAACCGATGTACGTAATTTTTTGCTGAATAATTGAAGATGATAAATAATGTGATGTTTTGTTTAGTTTGGTGGAAAGTTACAAGAAGATACACAAATTCATAAATGTGCTCAGCTATTTCACTAATAGGGAATGGAATTTTGAAAATGAAAACACCAAACAGTTGTGGTTGGAGCTGAATAAAACGGATAAAAAGACCTTCGAGTTTTCGATGGCCAAACTCGATTGGAACGCGTATTACAAGACGTACATGATGGGAGGAAGAATTTATCTGCTGAAGGATCCGATGGAAACTGTTCCAGCTGGAAAGAGGAAGCTTATGATCATGCAGTCTGCGCATTATTGCTTGGTAGCACTCATTTGGTTCTTACTATACAAACTTATTGTGTTGCTCTACGGAGCTGTTTTTTAATAATGAATTAATAAAGTAAAGGTTACAAAGGTTGGCTTATTGTTTGCAAATGTTCAGTATCGTCAGTCTGGAAATGGAAGTGTTACTGGAACGTGGTGAAAATGTAGCCGTGAGGCGACCCGTGCTAGGCGAATCGACAATCGCTGAATTCTACTCAGGAATTAACGTTTTGATAACTGGCGCTACCGGATTTTTGGGTAAAATCCTTCTCGTGAAACTGCTAACATCGTGTCCGAATATCGGTAAAATCTTCCTTCTGGTACGCATGAATAGCTATTCCAATGTCGAAACGAAAATGGAGGATTTGGTGGATTCACCGGTAAGAATAAATAACTCGAAGATTTCGTATTTTAACACTTTTAAACAAAGATCTTCGCCGGTTTAAGGGACGGTCGCCCGGAAGCTTTGAACAAGGTGGAGTTCATTCGAGGTGATTGTCTGGTTGCCGACAATTGGGGTATAGGAGACGAGGATTTGCAGAAGATCGTCGACGAAGTCGACGTAATCTTCAACTGCGCTTCTAGCAGCCTCTTCGATATTAGCTTGAAGCAATCAGGGGAAATCAATGTTAGAGCTTTAAGCGATTTTCTGGAAATTTCCAAAAGGATGAAGCATCTGAAAGTAATGTTAGACATTACACCAAAATTATTTTAATTATTATGCAATAAAAACTTTGTTAGGCCTTCGTTCACGTGTCCAACGCCTACGTGAATTGCAATGCCGGTACCCTGAGTGAATCTTTGGCTAAGCCGTTCATTTCCGGCAGAGCCTTAATCGAATTCGTCCAGACAATGGACACGGCTCACGTCAGCAACAGCACGCCTATGTACGGTCAACAGGTCACTTCGATGTACCAAAAATAAACACAATTGTATTTAAATTTTGCAGAGTTGTAGGGAAATGGTTAAATAATTATATATTCACCAAATCTATCGCTGAAGACATCATCAGGAAGGATGGTAAACTGTTACCAATTGCTGTAGTAAGACCAGCGATGCGTAAGAGAATTATATATTTATTTGAAACGATCGCTTGAAAACGCAAATCATTCAGTAATTTCGAGCGCGAAAGAGCCCGTCCCCGGTTGGTTGGATAACGTCAACGGAGTGACCGGATTGATCATGACCATCTACCTAGGTTTGAACAAAAGTCTCCTCGTGCAAAAGAATGTACGCGCAGATGTTATCCCAGCAGATTATGCAGCAAACGCCTTGATAGCAGCCGCCTGGGATATCGCCAAAACCAAGTACACTTACCTCAATCAACAACCAATACTCTCACTGTTAACACTCATCCTTCTTTGCAGAACCTTGAACGAAAACAGCGAATATTTAGAAACGAACGAATACGTTCCAGTGTACAACTTGGTCGGTTCTAAAGAGCATCCAATTACATGGGGTTAATTTTTCGATATACTAAATAACATTTTACTAAAACACAACTCATTTTCTTTTCATCTCAGGAAGACTGTTCAAACTCGCATCGAAACACGGAAAACTCCTGCCGACGATTTACACTATTTCCTATCCATGGTGCATTTTCCACGGCAACAAGCGGCTTCACAGCATTCTGGTTGCAGTTTTGCATTACATACCTGCTTACCTCTTCGACCTTTTCGGATTCTACTTTTATGGGAAGGCAAGGTGTGTATGTTTTTCGAATCCAGTTTCCTTTTAACATCGCCATCGACAAACAACAACAAATTCTGTACAAAGGATGTGCGAGAATTGCCATAAACGAGACCATTACAATTAGGCCAAATGCTTATGGTAATTCGAACACATAAAGAAAGGACGACAAGGCGATAGGAGAAGAAGTAGAAGAAATTGAAGAAGGCAGTTTCAGTATTCACTATTGTCCTATGTTTTGCTTGATTCGCTTAAGTTAAACTTTTATTTTACTAAGATGAAAACAAACAAAAAATTAGTCAAAATATCATGACCTCATTTATTTTGCCAAATTAACTTCTTCCAGTTGTTAAGTAATCTCTTGTCAGCATGTCATTTACCTCAATGAACACATCCAAGTAAGCAAAGATATAATGTTTATATTGTTTCTATTTGAATAGAATGAACTGTTTTGGCATAATTATGTATAGCTTCTTAATTTAATGGTTGCATTTTTTTTTACAATTCAATCAGACTTTTGCTCTGTAATAATATTCTTAGAATTAGTCAAAAGATGCCATTACAGGCGTTGTGTTATATAAATAACAAAGTTTGTCAACTGACTAATGTAATATTTTTAAATAGAAATAATTAGAAAAATCCAAAAATATATAATGACAAACTGACACAATAATAAAGTTGTGTAAGATAGAAAATGCAATATGAATAAACATTAAAATTAAGCTTCAAACATTCGCATTAAGATTAAAGCAACCTTTTCTTGTTTCAAGGCACACTTCAGCACTTATTAAACATTGGATGATTCCAACAAAAAATCGTCAACTTACAAACTTTCGTAGAACTACAAAATACCATTAATAATAACTACAAATACAAGTTTAACATGCTAAGCCAGCGGTTTTCAAACTTTCTTTGTATGCGGCGCCCTTGATATATATTTTTTTCCGGGACGCCCGAAGTCCAAACATTTTGACATCTCCGGGCAAAATTTGGTTGGTTGTTCGTCACATTCATATGTGACGAAGTGAAATTAAATAGAATTGTAAAATGGAAAAATAAGTATAATTTTATATTTTTGACACTTTCTAGACACGTAAAATAGATCAACAATACATCGAAATAAATGCAATTAATTAAATATGAATTATATATAAACACCAATGTAATAAAATATATATGAAGATAATTTTATTGTTAGGTATTTGGGATATTACAATAAAGTTGATATGCTGTCGAGAAGCCTCAAGTTCGTGCTGATGAAGGGTTGGGAATCGAGCGGCGAAGCAACGAAAGGTCTTTGGAACAAGCTTAGCGCCACGGACAAAGCTCTCTTCGATTTCGACATGGACAGTGTGGATTGGGACAGCTACTTCCAGTCCTACATAGCTGGAATCCGAATGTACGTGCTCAAGGACACGATGGACACCCTCCCGGAAGGAGTCCAGGCGTTGAAGTCGTCGTTCCTGTGGATGCTCGCTACGTTTGGAGTAGCGCTCCTCTTCCTCTTCCACCTCTTGATTCTTTGATTCGGAAATGATCCAATGCGATATACAAATAAAGAAGGTTGCATGTCGAGCGTGAAGAATTTTCCCCTCTACTTAAGTAACTAGTGTGGATGGAGTTTGCATGCTGTTGATGTGAATGTGTGTGTGTGTATCTGAAAGTGGGGATAGATGATACGTGCTTTATGTTTTTCTAAACAATAATAATGCTGCAGTGCACACATAACTATTGCCGCGTTCGCAACGCGTCGCAGCGAGCAGACAGACAAGTCCTAAGTCATAACAGCATCGTCGACAAGCGAAGAATCAAACGAAACTGTACACTGCACACTCACGCACATATATACAAAAAGAAATACCTTAATCCTAATACCTAATCTATACAAATTTATAGATATATATATTTATATGTGTGTGTTGTGCTTCGATCGCGGAAAATAGGAAAAACCTCGAGATTCCAAACGACAAAAAAAAAAAAATAATAACGAAAACAAAATAAAAACTTTTCCACCACAACATCCGGTAGTGCGATGGACGCGGTCCGAGGTTTCTGCACGCTGCGTGCGTTGTTGCGTTAACACGAGTAAACATTTAACAAAAAGAAAAAAAAATAAAATTTGCGAAAACTTTTTTTTCTTTTTTCCAACAAAACAACATAACGGGGCGACAAAGAACAAGAAAATTCCTTTCAATGATTGCCTCCAACGACAAATTTTCCATGTGCTCGGTTCATTTGCATTTCAGCTACTCACAAGTAAGTTTTGAATATTACGTTCTCTATAGTCAAAAATCTCATTTTGATTTTATATATCGTCCGTCTATGTTAGTTGCAATTTTGGAAATGATACTTTATTGTGTAAAATAAGATTTGGTTTGTTTCAATCAACATCTTTGGAAAGATACAAGCAATTAATTGCATTTGCTTTCGTCTTTTCAGATCTTGCAAGCCAGGCGAATTATGGTGAGTTTTCGATACGTTTCTATTTGTAGTCGTGGTTGTTTTTTGTTTGTTTTTGTTGTTGTTAACAAGATGATTTTTGGGATGAGCTCGAAAGGGGCGTAGATGGAACGCGAACAATGCGCCATAATTCTTCCTTCCTCGTCCGTGAGGAGTGGAAAAATCGCGAACGCTCTCTTCTCTCTTTCTCTCTCTGTGTGCGTGTGTAGATGTGTGTATGTCTTTCTCTTTCCAAATGAGACTATCTGCTGATAATAGAAGAGCAGAAGAGATGATGGCTATCGGCGCGTGTATAGTTAAAAAGGTGGTTGTGGCTCGAGCGAGACGGAGGACGTTCTCCGAGATGGAAGATGAAAGATCGTTTGGGTGTTTATGTGGGGCACGGCCTTTATGCAAATGTCTCATCTTCTTTGCAACTTTTACCTTTATGAATATTTTTAAGGCTGCGAGCGAGCGAGCGAGCGAGCGGGAGAGGATCGAGAGATAGCGAATGTGATGATGATGATGACATTTCAGTGATCGCGCACGGAACGAGAAGAAACTAACTATATAGTCAAAGAGAACCATCTTCTTCTTCTTCTTTTTATTATTTTCGAATTGGAGAAGGAGGAAGAGGATCGGGCCGGGCCGGGCCTACTAGCATAGATCATCATCATTATTACGATGATCTATGGAGGCGTTGAAATACACACCCGCACGATGATTGCCTTCGCTTTCCACGAAAACAATGCCTCGACGTTATAAAATACATAATAGGTCACCACACTAAGCGATCCTCGCTCGATCCTCATTTTACGTTTTTACTTTTTTTTTTATTCACTTCATCCTTCTTCAATCCACTTTTATTTATGGCAAAATGTACGAACGAACTGTATACAATAAATATATATTTTAAAAAGAAAGAGAAAAGCACAAAATCAATCTAAAAATCGGGGGCGTGCCGCCACCTACTGCGATCCTAAACATTAATGGCAATCCCATAAATGAACTCCCATTTTATAATAACTGTCAAGTGATCAAACATATTTATTATATTCGTCGCACATTTTATTACAGAACATTTTTTTTTTAAATTTATTACAATAAAGATTTTAATTTTAAACAAATATTTGAACAAATTCAGATAAAAATATTAGCGAATTTCAAACATATTTAAAGACATTTTTTAAAACGTAACTTTAAACTGTAGTCTTTTACTGTCTCTATCTTTAAATATTAATTTAATTAATCATTTGATCAATCTATATAAGTGTAAATATGATTTATTTTTATTATAATCATAAAAGAAAAAATAATCTAACAACCTGAAATATTTCGAATAAAATTTTATACAGATTTTTTTTTAAAATTTATTACAATAAAGATTTTAATTTTAAACAAATATTTGAACAAATTCAGACAAAAATATTGGCGAATTTCAAATATATTTATGGACATTTTTTAAAATGTAACTTTCAACTGTAGTCTTTTACTGTCTCTATCTTTAAATATTAATTTAATTAATCATTTGATCAATCTATATAAGTGTAAATAAGTGTTTTTTTTTTATTTTCGAAATTCAATAATATCTAACTATAGTTTTTGAAATTGTAGAACACTTTCAAAATTGTTTAACATGAATGAATAATTCCGATGAAATTTAGGAATATTGTATAAATATTAAAGATGATTGCAAGTATCTGAATTTTTCTTATTTTTGTTTTTAATTAAATAAGAAGTAGAGTTATGTATTTTTTTTTATAGAGAAGTTGAGTGAAAACAATAAATATGTTAGAGATTGTTAATTAATCATTTATTTTTGCTGTATTAGTATAAAAAATAAGAATTACAAAAAGGAATAGTTTGGGTCATGAACTTACCTAACATAATTTTGGGAAATAAACATTGTATCAAATATTATCAATTGCATAAATCAACAGTTGTTTTTATAACATCAAAGCTTAATAAATAGCTGCAAATGTAATAATTAATACCTATTAAATTTAATAATGCAAAACAGGAAGAAAACGAACAGCAATATATTGAAACTTAAACATTACTCTTGCCGTATATAGTTTCGTGCTGAATAATATTCCAACTAAATAATTCATGGAATGCATTTTGAAGTGAAACAAAAAAAAAAAGAGTATTATTTCATGTAACAAGTGTAATAATTTAGGGCGTGCCAGACAACAACTGGCCAATAACGATTTGTGCCATAAATACTTGTTAAAAAAAATTAACAATATTCGATACCCTATATGGATTTTCCAAAACGGTTGCAGCTTTAAGCGTTGGCCGTTTAACGTGTCAAGGGATATCGGATTAGAGAAATTCAGAGCACAAACGAATAATATATTTTTTTGTTGTCGTATAATTTTATTCACAATCTGTTCATCAATGTGAACATTGAGTAAATTTAAGATCTGTTTCCTTTGGCTGTGAATCTGCTGCTATCCTTAACACTGTCATTGTCTATAGACTTGGCTAAAGGATTTTCCATATTTTTAGTTCGTTGCTTGTGTTTCTCTAATTTTACTTGACAAGTAAATTAGAGCAAAATGCGTAATCTCCATTGTTTAATTAGAGTACATGTACTTTTCAAGTATTAAGTTACTTGGAAAGTATCACGTAATATAGACTATTGTATACAATTAATAATAGTATTACTGAAGTAAAGCGCTTTTTCGTTTCAGCACATGATTTATTATAGTGAATCTTATTGAAACTTAGTGAATGAAGGAAAACAAAGTCGGCTCGTGCTACAATCAAACTGTTTTGTTTGTTAAATATGTTTTTTTTTAATTAAAAAGGATAAATAAACAGATATAAAATTTGGATTCATTGATAAATTTTATGGTGTACGCATTTATGAATGAAAAGTGTGTGGTTGTAAAAAATATATTTTTTTTGTATATCACCTGTACATTACTTTGCAGTCTAATACTTTTAATACTAAAAGTTAGTACAGTGGAACCTCGCTTAACGAGCAATCTTTGTTTAAAGCTAAAGAATAAAAATAACCATAGATATGAGAAGCAAAATGATTAAAAATCGAGACCAAGTTATACTTTTTTTTCTCCGACATGGAACGGATTTACGGAATGTAGAATGTAGAAAAAAGTGTTAGTATTTTACTATACGAGTAAAAATCCGGAAATTTTGGAACTGTACTTGGTTGTAATAAAATTGTTTCAAAGAAAATCTGTTCTTAATATAAGAAAATAATAACGTTTTTCTTAATATTTCAGTAATTGCTCCTATTCTAATAAAAATGCAAATAAATAGTAAGGATTTCTTTCTCTTCGTAAATTTGTCCACAAGTAGTTTTGAGATTGTTAACTTTTTCTAGGTCCTAATTATAAATGGATGAACTGAAGCCACAATTCTATTAAGGAATTATTGATTGAAATAATAATATAAAGAAAATCCGATAAATATATTTATGTCTGAAAATACCTAATTTTTGTCGCGCGTTGCAACATATATTTTTGAAATTGTAGGGTGGCAGTAATTCTTTAAAATATATTTTTTTACGCTTTGTCATTAACAATTTAACGCGACGTACCAATATTTTTAGTAAATCTGAAGAGCCAATTTAAGTATGTACAGAGCCATATTCGGTTCGCGAGCCGCAGTTTGCTGACCCTAAATTTATACCATTATATGAAAAAATATAACTTTGGCAGAAATATCAATTACAATTAGTTATTATGTGGTTCATAGTGTACGCCTGATGTAACTCTTAAATTCAATTAAAAAAAGTAGTTTATTTCTACCAAATTTATATAAATAATTGTACTAAAGTAATTGATCAGTTATTAAAATTCTTGAGAATTTATCAGTTATTAATTTTCTTAAGAATCGTCAAAGTTAAATAAATTTGTCTTCCAGTAAATTAAATATATTAATACAAATATTAAATTAATGATTAGTTTTCTTAGGAACGTTAGAGCATTAATTTTTTTTTTAGTGTGTGAAGAAACTGTAGCAGTAATTAACATCTTCTGCGTGTCGCAATGTCGTCAAAACCGTGTGAAACTGCGCTGCGACATTGACATTTGCGTCTAACCTAGCGCTAAATCTCGGTATTTCTCGATCGATTTCCAAATCGATTTGATACACATATGCAAAAT